TGGTAAATGGGAGTGTTTTCTTGATTTCACTTTCAGATTTTTCATCGTTAGTGTATAGGAATGCCAGAGATTTCTGTGCATTAATTTTGTATCCTGCAACTTTACCAAATTCATTGATTAGCTCTCATAGTTTTCTGGTAGCATCTTTAGGATTCTCTATGTATAGTATCATGTCATCTGCAAACAGTGACAGCTTTACTTCTTCTTTTCCAATTTGGATTCCTTTTATTTCCTTTTCTTCTCTGTGGCTAAAACTTCCAAAATTATATTGAATAAGAGTGGTGAGAGTGGGCAACCTTGTCTTGTTCCTGATCTTAGTGGAAACGCTTTCAGTTTTTCACCATTGAGGATGATGTTGGCTGTGGGTTTGTCATATATGGCCTTTATTATGTTGAGGAAAGGTCCCTCTATGCCTACTTTCTGCAGGGTTTTTATCATAAATGAGTGTTGAATTATGTCAAAAGCTTTCTCTGCATCTATTGAGATGATCATATGGTTTTTCTCCTTCAATTTATTAATATGGTTTATCACATTGATTGATTTGCATATATTGCAGAATCCTTGCATTCCTTGAATAAGCCCCCTTGATCATGGTGTGTGATCCTTTTAATGTGCTGTTGGATTCTGTTTGCTAGTATTTTGTTGAGGATTTTTGCATCTAGGTTCATCAGTGATATTGGCCTGTAGTTTTCTTTCTTTGTGACATCCTTGTCTGGTTTTGGTATCAAGGTGATGGTGGCCTCGTAAAATGATTTTGGGAGTGTTCCTCCCTCTGCTATATTTTGAAAGAGTTTGAGAAGGATAGGTGTTAGCTTTTCTCTAAATGTTTGATAGAATTCGCCTGTGAAGCCATCTGGTCCTGGGCTTTTGTTTGTTGGAAGATTTTTAATCACAGTTTCAATTTCAGTGCTTGTGATTGGTCTGTTCATATTTTCTATTTCTTCCTGATTCAGTCTTGGCAGGTTGTGCATTTCTAAGAATTTGTCCATTTCTTCCAGATTGTCTATTTTATTGGCATAGAGTTGCTTGTAGTAATCTCTCATGATCTTTTTTATTTCTGCAGTGTCAGTTGTTACTTCTCCTTTTTCATTTCTAATTCTGTTGATTTGAGTCTTCTCCCTTTTTTTCTTGATGAGTCCGGCTAATGGTTTAACAATTTTGTTTATCTTCTCAAAGAACCAGCTTTTAGTTTTATTGATCTTTGCTATTGTTTCCTTCATTTCTTTTTCATTTATTTCTGATCTGATTTTTATGATTTCTTTCCTTCTGATAACTTTGCGGTTTCTTTTTCTTCTTTTTGTAATTGCTTTAGGTGCAAGGTTAGGTTGTTTATTTGAGTTGTTTCCTGTTTCTTAAGGTGGGCTTGTATTGCTATAAACTTCCCTCTTAGAACTGCTTTTGCTCCATCCCATAGGTTTTGGGTCGTCGTGTCTCCATTGTCATTTGCTTCTAGGTATTTTTTTATTTCCTCTTTGATTTCTTCAGTGATCACTTTGTTATTAAGTAGTGTATTGTTTAGCCTCCATGTGTTTGTATTTTTTACAGATCTTTTCCTGTAATTGATATCTAGTCTCATGGCATTGTGGTCGGAAAAGATACTTGATACAATTTCAATTTTCTTAAATTTACCAAGGCTTGGTTTGTGACCCAAGATATGATCTATCCTGGAGAATGTTCCATGAGCACTTGAGAAAAATGTGTATTCTGTTGTTTTTGGATGGAGTGTCCTATTAATATCAATTAAGTCCATCTTGTTTAATGTATCATTTAAAGCTTCTGTTTCCTTATTTATTTTCATTTTGGATGATCTGTCCATGGGTGAAAGTGGGGTGTTAAAGTCCCCTACTATGAATGTGTTACTGTCAATTTCCCCTTTTAAGTCTGTTAGTGTTTGCCTTATGTATTGAGGTGCTCTTATGTTGGGTGCATAAATATTTACAATTGATACATCTTCTTAGATCGATCCCTTGATCATTATGTAGTGTCCTTCTTTGTCTCTTCTAATAGTCTTTATTTTAAAGTCTATTTTGTCTGTTATGAGAATTGCTACTCCAGCTTTCTTTTGGTTTCCATTTGCATGAAATATCTTTTTCCATCCCCTTACTTTCAGTCTGTATGTGTCTCTAGGTCTGAAGTGGGTCTCTTGTAGACAGCATATATATGTGTCTTGTTTTTGTATCCATTTAGCCAATCTGTGTCTTTTGGTGGGAGCACTTAGTCCATTTACATTTAAGGTAATTCTCGATATGTATGTTCCTATTCCCATTTTCTAAATTGTTTTGGGCTCGTTATTGTAGGTCTTTTCCTTCTCTTGTGTTTCTTGCCTAGAGAAGTTTCTTTAGAATTTATGTAAAGCTGGTTTGGTGGTGCTGAACTCTCTCAGCCTTTGCTTGTCTGTAAAGGTTTTAATTTCTCCATCTAATCTCAATGAGATCCTTGCTGGGTAGAGTAATCTTGGTTGCAGGTTTTTCTCCTTCATCACTTTCAGTATGTCCTGCCACTCCCTTCTAGCTTACTGAGTTTCTGCTGAGAGATCAGCTGTTAACCTTATGGGGATTCCCTTGTGTGTTATTTGTTGTTTTTCCCTTGCTGCTTTTAATATGCTTTCTTCGTATTTAATTTTTGACGGTTTGATTAATATGTGTCTTGGCGTATTTCTCCTTGGATTTATCCTGTATGGGACTCTCTGTGCTTCCTGGACTTGAATAACTATTTCCTTTCCCATATTAGGGAAGTTTTCAACTATAATCTCTTTAAATATTTTCTCAGTCCCTTTCTTTTTCTCTTCTTCTTTTGGAACCCCTATAATTCGAGTGTTGGTGCATTTAATGTTGTCTGAGAGGTCTCTGAGACTGTCCTCAGTTCTTTTCATTCTTTTTTCTTTATTCTGCTCTGCAGTAGTTTTTTCCAGTATTTTATCTTCCATGTCAGTTATCCGTTCTTCTGCCTCAGTTATTCTGCTATTGATCCCGTCTAGATTATTTTTCATTTCATTTATTGTGTTGTTCATCATTGTTTGTTTCATCTTTAGTTCTTCTAGGTCCTTGTTAAATGTTTCTTGCATTTTGTCCATTCTATTTCCAAGATTTTGGATCATCTTTACTATCATTATTGTGAATTCTTTTTCAGGTAGACTGCCTATTTCCTCTTCACTTGTTCGGTCTGGTGCATTTTTATCTTGCTCCTTCATCTGCCGTGTGTTTTTCTGTCTTCTCATTTTGCTTATCTTGCTGTGTTTGGGGTCTCCTTTTTGCAGGCTGCAGGTTCGTAGTTCCTGTTGTTTTTGATGTCTGTCCCCAGTGGCTAAGGTTGTTTCAGTGGGTTGTGTAGGCTTCCTGGTGGAGGGGACTAGTGCCTGTGTTATGGTGGATGAGGCTGGAACTTGTCTTTCTGGTGGGCAGGTCCACGTCTGGTGGTGTGTTTTGGGGTGTCTTTGGCCTTATTATGATTTTAGGCAGCCTCTCTGCCAGTGGGTGGGCTTGTGTACCTGTTTTGCTAGTTGTTTAGCATAGGGTGTCTAGCACTGTAGCTTGCTGGTCATTGAGTGAATCAGGGTGCTGTTGTTGAGATGGAGATCTCCAGGAGATTTTCGCCGTTTGATATTATGTGGAGCCTGGAGGTCTCTTGTTGACCGGTGTCCTGAAGTTGGCTCTCCCACCTCAGAGGCACAGCACTGACTCCTGGCCGCAGCACCAAGAGCCTTTCATCCGCACGGCTCCTCAGTTTGGGATGATTCGTTGTCTATTCAGGTATTCCACAGATGCGGGGTACATCAAGTTGATTGTGGAGATTTAATCCGCTGCTCCTGAGGCTGCTGGGAGAGATTTCCCTTTCTCTTCTTTGTTTGCACAGCTCCCGGGTTTCCCCTCCTTTATTTCTGATGGTATCAGATTGGTGAGAGCCAAGGCAAGGACCCTGAATGAGGACTGAGGACCCCAAGGATCCCAGGACAGAGTCCCATAGAGCTGTCAGCTGTGGGTGCCCCCTGGCAGGGGTGCTAGGCTGAGGTGCCCCTTCACTTCTTCTTAAGGTATCCCAGGAAGATGAGGATCTGGGTCTGAGGTATAAATTTAGAGCAGCACAGAGGAGGGGGCCCAGGCCCTGCCCAAAGTTGATATGATGGTCCTGCATATGAACTGAGGGGACCCCAATGCTCCAGAGTAGAGGGGGCTCCACAAGGACTAGATAATTGCCCACTGCTGCTCTCAGCCCCAATAAGCACCAGGCAGGGCTGGCAGGCTGCAGCCTGAGGCTCACTTTAATTATTTCCACAGGGTTCTTAGAGGACAGGGTGATCAGAACAGGAGTCCTGTGTGTTCGTAGAGCAGGGCCCACATGGAAACCTGAAGAGTGGCCCTCTTAAAGGCAGGGTGGTACCTCCCTGCTGTAGGCACTCACACCCTCTCATCCTCTCGCATCTCTGCCAGATCACCCCGCTGTCCTACCTGCGTTCCTGCCTTTTGTCCCTGACCACAGTCACCATGCCTCGGGGGCGGAAGAGTAAGCTCCGCACCCGTGAGAGACGCTGCCAGGCCCAAAGTGGGACCCAGGGTCTGACGGGTGCTCAGGCCACTGCAGCTGAGGAGGAAGCCGCCTCGTCTTCATGTCCTTCTCTTGGGGTTACTACTCGGAGAAAGCCGGGTGCTAAGTCACGTAGCACTCTCAAGAGTCCTCAGAGGGCCCTAGCCACCACCACTAATCCTGCAGGTGTTTCTCCCGCAAGATCAAACAAAGGAGCCAAAGGCCAAATGAAGAAAAAGCACAGTTCCTCTCAGGCCCCCGTCTCCGCCGTGCGGTCTCGAAAAGGCCCTCTAAGGAGGACAGCGAGTGTGTTGGTGCAGTTCCTGGTGCACATGTATAAAATGAAAAAGCCTGTTAGGAAAGCACATATGCTGAAGTTTATCGCTAAGAAGTACCAAAATCGATTCCCTGAGATCCTCAGAAGAGCTTCCTTCAGCATGGAGATGCTATTTGGTGTTGACTTAAAGGAGGTCGACCGTACCAAGCATACTTATACCTTTGTCAGCAAAATGGCTCTCCCCAACGATGGGACCATGAGCCGTGGCAGCGGGTTACCCAAGACCGGTCTCCTGATGTACATTCTGGCTGTGATCCTCATGAAGGGCAACTGCGCCACAGAGGAGAATATCTGGGAATTCCTGAATAAGATGAGAGTCTATGCTGGGAAGAGGCACTTCATATTTGGGGACCCCAAGAAGCTTATCACCCAAGATTGGGTGAAGCTGAAGTATTTGGAATACCGGCAAGTGGCCAACAGTGATCCAGCACGCTACGAGTTCCTGTGGGGCCCGAGAGCCCATGCCGAAACCAGCAAGATGAAAGTCCTGGAGTTCCTGGCCAAGGTCAATCACACCGTCCCCAGTGCCTTCCAGTCTTGGTATGAAGAGGCTTTGAAAGATGAGGAAGAGAGAGCCCAAGCCAGTGGATGTTCCAGTGTTCTGTCCAGCTCCTCCCACACAGAATCTGAGGCAAATTCTGCACTTTGTGGCTGAAGAGAGCATTCAATATTTCAAGTAGTGTAGGGCTGGGTGTGACAGAGGGAACACTGTATAATACCTTTGTGTTCCTGTTCTGTATGGGGAATTTGGAAATACGTCTTTGTTTTTTGCTGTTTTTCAAACGTTACTCCTAAATGAAATTTTATTTAGCGTTAGAATGTAAGTTTATGAATTACATCAGTCATACTTACTGTTGTTTATCAGGTTTAAGAATAAGAGTTTTGCTGTTTTGTAAAACATATTGGGAAAACTTCCATCTTATTTAGTAATTTGGTGGAAGATAACATGGCATTGCAATATGCAATTCCTTGAAAATGTGAAAAAGTTAAGTATAGTATAGTATACTGTATGTAGTATAGTATAGAAAAAGTAAGATGGTCAATATTTGGTTTACTAATTCCTTTTACTCTGTTTTATAAAATTAGAAATAACAGTATGTGCTTGGCTCATTCAAAAATGTAGAATTAAATCATAATAAATTAGACCTCATGCTCACAGGCTCGTTTATTCCCCAAACATGAATTGAGCATCTGCTCTTAGAAGGCTCCTTGCTAGTACTGTGAGAGCTGAGAAGAAGGAGACCTAGCCACTGACCATAAAATTATAGAGCCGAGAAGCAGCTATCATATAAAGAAAATGGTGATGTATACTCTAAGACCAAAAGGACAAATGAAAAGACAGGATAAGAAAGGAGAAGGGGTGGTTTCACATGATAGCAGTCAAATGTAAATTCCCTGATGCAAGGCAGTGGTGGGCCTTGGGAAAAATGTAAGTCCTTCAGTGGGAGGAAATTATAAGTTAGGTGCGCGGTGGGCTAGATGAGACTGATAATTTTGAGCAGGGTCCAGATCCTCAGATGGTGGGCCGTACAGTTGAAAGACAAAGCCTGGAATGGGAAACTGCCCTTAGCAGTTACAGGCACACTTCATTTTGTTGTGCTTTGCTTTATTGTATTTCACAGATAGTGCTTTTTCTTTTCTTTTTTTAACAAATTGAAGGTTTGTGTCAACCTTGCTTCCAGCAAGTCTTTCAGTGCCATTTTTCCAACAACATATTCTCACTTCATGTCTCTGTGTCACATTTTGGTAATTCCCACAATATTTCACACCTTCCACCAGCAAAAAGATGGACTCGCTGAAGGTTCAGATGATGGTTAGCATTTTTTAGCAAAAATGTATTTTTTAATTAAGGTATGTACATTGTTCCTTGACATAATACTATTGCACGCTTAATAGACTGCAGTATAGTGTAAACATAAATTTTGTAAGAGCACTGGGAAACCAAAAAATCCTTGTGACTCACTTTATTGTGCTATTCACTTTATTTTGGGGGTCTGGAACCAAACCTGCAATATCTTTGAGGTCTCCTTTTACTTTGGGGTTGTGGGTAAATCAGAGAGAAATCACCTGAGGCAGGAATAGAATGTGTCCTGTGCTCTTGTCCCAGTGCAGGTGAACACTATGCAAATTAGATGTTTTATTCACGCCGTCATGTCTCCAGGGAGTTTCTGAGAAATAAGGGTGGTACTCCCCTGAGGGGGGATGCCCAGAAGCCACTGGACTGGCACTCTTTGCCCTAGTTGGGGGAGCCAGAGCCCATTCCACTAAAAAAAATCATTCAAATTAAGTTATCTTGATTGTAATTTGGCAAAGTCTAGGCAAGGAATAGATATTCGTGGGTGGTTAAATGAATGAAAGTGGGAGTGGTTTATAAAGAAGGGCAACTGAGAGGGAGGTAAGTTTTAGGTCCGTGAAACATTTTAGAGCTTTGTGTTGCATCTACTGAGGAAGTCTACCTCATGTTGACCTTGAATGACATACTCTAACAGGGAAATACTAGTTTTCCTTGCTAAGCAGGATTTTGCCTGATAGGGGTTTCTTTGCCCTAGAGCCCTGCTTATTCTCTGGCATCTCCTGGATTGAAAGTTAAATCTCAGTGTAGTGGGTTGAAACTCCAGGGGACAAATTAATCATAGTAAGAACTGGCATCCTTGAAAGTCTCAGTACCGGCCAGGCAATGGGCCAGGCACTTCACAGGCATTATATAAATTCTATCAGTCCCCAAGGCAGAGCTTCTCAAACCCATTTCACAGATGAAAAGACCGAGGCTCACAGAGTTTGGTAATGTGTTCAATTTCACACAGCTGTTAAGTGACAGTGTTGGAACTAGACTCCTGGCCTAACTAAGTCTGACGCCCACACTTTTCCATTCCTTCCAGCCCGAGGCCAACTTTGTGTTCCTTAATTCACCTTACTTCTCACTCACTACAAAATATATCTCAGGTGATAAAAAGGAGGACTCTGTGCCCAAAACACTGGATGGGAATACATAAGCACAGCAATAAGCGTCTCAAAATAGTTGAAAAGGGTGAAGAAAGCAGAGGAAGATATTTAGTGACAGTATGATCATCTACATATCCAAAGTCAGATAACCTCAAAAGATCAGGGGCTCAGAAAATCATGCTGGACAGCCCTTCGCATTTGGAAGTTAAATCTATTCAAAGAGAAGTTACATAAAAGGCTAAGTCTTGCTGGTAAAGAGAAGGGAAAAACCAATGTATTTTTTTTCTTTGACAGCACATCCATCCTGCCTTGTGTTACAACTTCCCTCCTTCACATCACTCCTGGGACGGAGACCCAGTCTCTGAAGGGTTTGCAATAGGGAAACCGGTCAAGAGTTTGCAGGGATGGGCCCTTTCCCAGGAAGCCTTTAATCAAGAAACAGGAGCCACGATGAAGGGCCCCTTACGGGTGGCCTGGGGAGAGCAACATGCCAGGCAAAGTTGTCAGCCTGAGCATGCCCTCACTTACTCTTCAGGGTTCTCAGGGACTTGTGAGTCCTACCTAGGAGGATGAGCTCAGGTCAGTAGAGGGAGGAGTCCCAGTCTCTGCCACATGTGGTGGTGAGGACCCTGAATGAGGAATGAAGGAAGCACACCCGCCACCCCCGAACAGTGTGTCCCATGGACTCCTGACCCTGCCGTCAGCCCTCGGAGTCCCCAGACAGCCTTGGCAAGATGTGGCTGAACCTGATTTCCACGTAAGAGGTTGAGAAAGTGAAGACTTTGGCCTGAGGTTGGCCAACTCAGGTCAGTAGAGATAGGATTTCCAAGGTGCGCCAGGAGGAAGGTGAGCACCCTGAAGAGTTCAGGGCCCACCAAACCCATATCAGCGGAGACCTCACAGAATCCTCCCTGTTGCCGTGACAAATCCTGGTGTAAATGTCAGGAAGAGACGGCCTCATATCCTTCTCGGGGATCACAGAAAAGTGCGGAACTTGGTTTGAGGGAGAGGTCCCAGGGCAGCAGAAGGGGGGAATCTTAGGCCTTCACGTGAGTCAGATTTAGGGTACTGAGTTAGAACCCTGAGTGGGATCACCATCATATGGTCTCAACCTGCCTGATACAGTTGTCACTCATGGCATGGCAGGTGTGGCCAAGTAAGGCCACCCTCACCTCCTATTGGATCTCAGGGAAATAAGAGCCTTTCTCTGAAGAAATGTCCTCAGGTCGAGAAAGAGGGGAGCCTCAGGCCCTGCCAGGAGTCAAATCAAGGAAACTGAGTGAGGACTGAGAGGCCCACCCACTCTTGCATAGAGGGGAAACCTGGCCCTGCGCCTGCACTCAAGACTTAAATCCCCAGGGAAGGGTGTGAGGCTGAGCAACAACCACCACCCCCCATCAGTTTTTTTTTTTAGTTCACTTTATTTTTTTTTAAAGCAGTTTTAGGTTCACAACAAAATGGAGCAGAAAGTACAAGGAGTTCCCATGTACCCTCTTCCCCGACACAGCTCACACCTCCCCCACTATCAACATCCCCCATCAGAGTGGGCCGTTTGCTACGATCTATGAAGCTACATTGACACATCATTAGCACACAAAGTCCAGAGTTACATTAGGCTTCATTCTTGGTGGTGTACACTTTGTGGGTTCCGACGAACGTATGATGACTTGTATCTACCACTATAGTGTCATACAGAGTAATTTCACTACCCTAAAAATTCTCTGTGCTCTATTCATCCCTCCCTGCCCCCAACCCCTGGCAACCACTGGTCTTTTTGCTTTTTCTATAGTTTTACCTTTTTCCAGGATGTCATGTAGTTGGAATCACGCAGCATGTAGCCTTTTAAGATTAGTTTCTTTCACTTAGTAATACACATCTAAGGTTCCTCCATGTCTTTTCATGGTTTGATATTTATTTCTAGCACTGAACAGTATTCCATTATTTATCCATTTACCTGCTGAAGGACACCTTTGTTGCTTTTAAGTTTTGGCAGTTATGAGTAAAGCTGCTATAAACATCGGTGTGCAGGTTTTTGTGTGGATGTAAGTTTCCAACTCATTTTGGTAAATACCAAGGAGCATGATTACTAGATTGTATGGTAAGGGTATGTTTAGTTGGTTTTTTAAAAAAAAAAAAATTTATTGAGGTAGGATGGACATACAGAAACCGTACGTATTTAATGTATACAAATTGATGAGTTCGGAGATAAGTATCCACTTGTGAAACTATCAGTCACCACAGTTTATGCCATAAACATATCTATGACCTCCAAATGTTTCCTCCCACCCTTTTTATTTTGTGTGTGTGATAAGAACACTTACCATAAGATTTAACCTGTTAGAAAGTGTACAATATAGTATTCTTAACTGTAAACTCTATGCTGTATAGTAGATCCCTAGGATTACCTTGCATAACTGAAACTTTGTAACTTTTGATTAAAACCACCTCATTTTCCCCATCTCCATAGCCCCTGGCAACCACCACTCTACTCTGCTTCTCTGACTTTGACTATTTTAGATTCCTCATATAAATGACATCATGTAGTATTTGTCCTTCTGTGTCTGGCTTATTTCACTGGAACATAATGTTCTCTAGATTTATTCATGCTGTCATAGCTGGAGAAGTTTTAGCTTCTTTTTAAAGCTGAATGATATTCCATTGTATGTATACTTTACACTTTATCCATTCATCCATCGGTGGACATTTAGGTTGCTTCCATAGCTTGGCTATTAGGAATAATGCTGCAATGAACATGGGAATGCAGATATCTCTTCAAGGTCCTGATTTCAATTCCTTTGGATAGTGGTGGGTTTCCCGAAAATTATATGTTTTTTTTTTTTATTTTTTTTTTTTTTTTTTTTGCGGTACGCGGGCCTCTCACTGCTGCAGCCTCTCCTGCTGCGGAGCACAGGCTCCGGACGCGCAGGCTCAGCGGCCATGGCTCACGGGCCCAGCCACTCCGCGGCACATGGGATCCTCCCGGACCCGGGCACGAAGCCACGTCCCCCGCATCGGCAGGCGGACTCTCAACCACTGCACCACCAGGGAAGCCCTATTTTTGATTTTTTGAGGAGCCTCCATACTGTTTCCCATAGTGGCTGGACCAATTTACATTCCCACCAACAGTATAGAATATGTTTAGTTTACTGAGAAGCTTGCAAACTGGCTTCCAAAGTGGCTATACCATTTGCATCACCACCAACAATGAAAGCGTTCTTGTTGAATCCCATCCTCACCAGCATTTGGTGCTGTCAGTCCTCTGGATTTTGGCACGTAGTGGTTTCTGGTTGTAATTTTAATTTGCAGTTCCCTAATGGTACATGATGGTGAGCATCTTTTCATATGCTTGTTTGCCATCTGTATATCTTCCTTAGTGAGGTATCTGTTCATATCTTTTGTCCATTTTTTAAATCGGGTTGTTAGTTTCCTTCTTATTGAATTTTAAGAGTTCTTTGTATATTTTGGATAAAAGCCTTCATCAGATCTGTCTTTTGCAAATATTTCCTCTGAGACTGTAGCTCATCTTCTTGTTCTCTTGATGGTGTATTTTTGCAGATTAGAAGTTTAAGGGAATGAAATCTAGCTTATCAATTATTTCTTTCATGGATCCCCATCCCATTTTTTATGAGTTCTGGAAGGAGGTGAGATCCTTGGTCTGAAGGTCCAGCCCCCAGTCAGCAAAAGGAAGAGTCCATGACCCTGTGCGGTGTCCAAGTGAGGACTCCAAATGATGACTTAGGATCTAACAAGCTCAGGACAGAGAGGTACCCACAGAGCTTTAACTACTGGGTTCCCCCTGATAAGAGTGGTGGGCTGAGGTGCCCCCTCACTTCCTTCTTGTGGGTCCTGGAGAGCTTTGGGGTGTCACCTTTAGAGTAACAGAGAGGGGAGTTTCCAGGCCTTGCCAAGAGCTGTCATGATAATCCTGAAGCTAAACATAGAAGACCCCCTACACTGAAAAACACAAGTGGACCCACTATCAACCATGCTGTCACCCTAGTCAGTAAAACACAGGGCAGGCAGGCTGCAGCCTAAGGCTCACCGTTTCTCCACTGGGTTCTCAGGGACAGGTTGACCAGGAGAACAAGAGCCCTGCAGAGTCCTAGGGCAGTGCCCTCAAGGAAACCTGCAGAGATGGACTTGGTTAAAGCTTACGTGGAATCTCCCTGCTGAAGGTCCTCACACCATCTCATTCCCCCTCCTCCTCCCTCCTCCAAGTGCAGGCATCACCCACACTCCCGCCTGCTGTTCCTGATCACACTCATCATTCCCTAGGGTCACAAGAGTAAACTCAGTCCCCGTGAGAAATGCCAGCATGCCCGGGGTGAGACCCAGGATCTCCAGGGTGCTCAAACCACTGAGCAGGGAAGAGTACCCCTTCTCTTCCTCTCCTGTTTTGGGGATGTTTCCTTGGACTCCCCGGTGGCTGGCATTCCTAGGAGCCTCAGAGATCCACATCCACCATCGTTACTTCCCAGCTGTTTCATGCACAATGTCCGAAAAAGATGTCAAGAGCCAAGATGAGAAAGTGCACGTTGCTCTAAAGCCTCAACCTCCACTGAGAGCTTACGGAAGGACCTTCTAACCATGAAGGCAGGGATGTTGATGCAATTCATACTGCAGAAATATAAAAGAACCCATCATGAAGGTAGACATGCTGAAGGTTGTCAACAAAATGTACAGGGAACAATTCCCTGAGATCCTAAGGAGAGCCACTGAGCACATGGAACTGGTCTGCGGCCTTGACTTGAAGGAAGTCAAGCCGGGTGGTGATTCCTATGCCCTTGTCAGCAAGCTAGATCTCACCGATGATGGGCATCGGAGCAGTGGCGGGCGGTTTCGGAAGAATGGGCCCCTGATGCCTCTCCTCGGTGTGATCTTCTTGCATGGCGACCGCGCCTCTGAGGAGGAGATCTGGGAATTCCTGAATGTTTTGGGTGTTTTTGATGGAAGGAGGCACTTCATCTTGGTGGAGCCCAGGAAGCTTATCACAGAAGATTTGGTGCAGGAAAATACCTGGTGTATCATCAGATGCGCGACAGCGATCAAGAGCCCAAGCTGAAACCAGCAAGATGAAAGTCCTGGAGTTTTTGGCCAAGGTCGATGATAGGGTCCCCAGTGCCTTCCCATCCTGGTATGAAGAGGCTTTGAGAGATGAGGGAGAGAGAGCCCGAGCCAGGGCTGCAGCCAGGGCTGGCACTACTGCCATGGCCAGTGCACATTCCAGGGCCACATCCAGTCGCTCCTGTCACCCCTAGTGAGGTAGAGGCCGATTCTTCACTTTGTGGTTGGTAAAGCCTGTTAACCAGTGTTCCTGATATGCATAAATTCCTGTTGGCTTATTTTTTTGGTAATTTTCAAGTGATTTTCTTTTCAAAAGAAAGTTTATTTAGATTCAGAACATAAGCTTATGAATGACATGGGCACACACTTATTGCTCTTTATCAGATTTAGAAGTAAGAATTTTGTTTTTTGAAATACAAATTGAAAATTTTTAAATCATCGATGTGATCCAGAGCAAGACTGCATGGAATTGGAATACGGATGTCCTTGGTAATGTGAAAGAACTCCCCAGTAAAATAGGATAAGAAGATAGAGAAAACAAATTAAAATTGTTCACCTATGGGTTTGGCGTACTCCATTCAGTCTTTCTTTTCCAAAATTTAAAAGATATACACCTTTTAAAGTCAGGAAAAGATATATACCTTTTGCATTTAGGATGTGCTTAAATTATTCAAGAAAATATGAGTTTATGGGACTGTAAATTGATGCAGCCACTATGGAAAACAGTATAGAGGTTCATCAAAATATTGAAAATAGAACTACCGTGCAATCCAGCAATTCCACTCCCGGAAATTTATCTGAAGGAAAAGAGAACAACAACTTTTTTGAAAAGATATCTGCACGCCCCCATATTCATTTATTTGCCATAACCAAGACATGAAAACAACGTAAGTGTTCATTGATGGATGAATGGATAAAGAAAATGTGATACACACACACTCACACACACAGTCATACTCTCACTCTCCCTCGGATATTATTCAGCCATTTAAAAAAAAAAAAAAAGGAAATCCTGCCATTTGCAATAACACAGAGGGACACACAAAGACAAATACTATATGATCTCACTTATATGTGGAAATTAAAAAAAAAAAACACCCAGAGAACAGATTGGTGGTTGCCACAGGTGTGGGGTGGAGGATGGATGAAATGGGTGTAAATGGCCAAACGGTACAAACCATTTACAAAATAAAGAAGTCCTGGGGATGTAACGTGCAGCATGGCGACTATAGTTAATAATACTGTATTGTATATTTGAAAGTTGTTAAGAGAGTAGATCTTTTTTAATTGAGGTGTAGTTGATGTACAATATTTCATAAGTTTCATGTACACAACAGAGTGATTCACAATTTTTAAAGGTTATATTCCATTTACAGTTATTATAAAATATTGGCTATATACCGTTTGTTGTGCAGTATATCTTTGTAGCTTATTTATTTTTATTTTTATTTTATTTTTATTTTTTTGCGGTACGCCGGCCTCTCACTGTTGTGGCCTCTCCCGTTGTGGAGCACAGGCTCCAGACGCGCAGGCTCGGTGGCCATGGCTCACGGGCCCAGCCGCTCCGCGGCATGTGGGATCTTCCCGGACCGGGGCACGATCCCGTGTCCCCTGCATCGGCAGGCGAACTCTGAACCACTGCGCCACCAGGGAAACCCGCTTATTTATTTTATACATAGTATTTTGTATTTCTTAATCCCCTATCCTTCCCCTGCCCCTCCCCCTTCCCTCTTCCCACTGGTAACCACTAGTTTGTTCTCTATATCTGTGAGTCTGTCATATTTCCCTAGTTTGCTTTATTTTTGAAATTCTCCATATAAGTGGTATCATACAGTGTTTTTCTTCCTCTACCTCACTTATTTCACTTAGCATAATACCCTCTAACTCCATCCATGTTGTTGCAAAATGGCAAAAGTTCATTCTTTTTTATGGCTGACTAGTATTCCATTGTGTGTGTGTGTGTGTGTGTGTGTGTGTGTGTGTGTGCGTGTGCGAGTGTGTGTGTGTGTAAAGAAGATGTGGTATATACATCTTGGCAATTGTCGGTAATGTTGCTATGAACATTGGGGTGCGTGCATCTTTTCGAATTAGTGGTTTTTTCCTTTTTTAACAGTAATTTAAAGTTTATTCTGGCTATAATGCAGGTTATTCTGACTTTAAGGTAGCATACCTGGCATACTTCTGAGTCCGTTCCGAGAAATTCTTTTGTACTTCTCTCTCTCTGTTTTATACGTCCATGCAGTCTATGGCACTAGGGGGGGGTCATCTGGGTTTGGATCATATAGCAGTGAACAAATGGATGAAAGAACGTTAGAAACGATTAAAGGAGGAGACCACTGTAATCTTAGAATATTGAGACAAATGCTGCCATTAGTGTTAATGTCTGAATGATAAATTCTTGTTGCAAATGCAACCTTAGGTAGTTTGAAGGGGTAGTCTGTAGGAAAATGAATTGTCAAAAGGAATACACCACCTTGATATGGGTTTTCATTAGCTTCCATAATTGTGGCTTGCCAATGAAACATATTATCCCCAGCTGGACCTGCAGAGCAGTGTGCTGGAGGGTCATGGGCCAAATCACTAAGTTCCTTATTAATCCCTTTCAGCACCATAGTCTGTGCTTTTCCTCTGGCCCCTCACAGTCCTGGTGTGTGCTCAAAGATCCGGTCAAAACTCTTGATTATCTGGGCGGCTGGGAAGGACTGTTTCTTCATCCTATCCTGGCTCTGCCAGACACAGGCACCTTCTTACTAAACAGAGAGGTTGGACTGTGAGGGTGGGGTCAGAGGCATGTAGACGAAGCTGGGGGGAAGGGTAGATGAGCGGTGGAAACCCTTAGAGAACCATCGAGAACCTGAAGGAGACCATCCAACTTAGTGAGGAGGTGGGGTTGTTGTTTTTTGTTTGTTTGTTTGTTTCTTTTGGATACATACCCAGGAGTGGAATTGCTGGGTCATATGGTAGCTCTATTTTTAGTTTCTGGAGGAACCTCCATACTGTTTTCCACAGTAGCTACACCTATTTACATTCCCACCAACAGTGTACAGATCTCCACGTGCTTGCCAGCATTTGTTATTTCTGTTCTTTTTGATGATGGCCATTCTGATAGGTGTGAGGTAATACCTCATGGTAGTTTTAATTTGCATTTATCTGATGATTAATGATGTTGACCATCTTTTCATTTGCCTGTTGGCCATCTGTATGTCTTCTTTGGAAAAATGTCTATTTAGGTCTTCTGCCCATTTTTTCGATTGGGTTATTTGGGGTTTTTTTTTAACTGTTGAGTTATATGAGCTGTTTATATATTTTGGATGTTAACCCCTTATTGAGCATATCATTTTCAAATATTTTCTCCCATTCCACAGGTTGTCTTTTCATTTTGTCAATGGTTTCCTTTGCTGTGCAAAAGCTTTTAACTTTAATTATATTCCATTTGTTTGCTTCTGCTTTTATTTCCTTTGCTTTAGGAGACAGATCCAAAAAAATATTGCTATGATTTATGTCAAAGAGTGTTCCACCCATGTTATCTTCTAGGAGCATTATGGTTTCCACTCGTATATTTAGGTCTTCAATTGGTTTTGAGTATATTTTTGTATGTAATGTTAGAGAATGTTCTAATCTCATTCTTTGACGTGTAGCTGTCCAGCTACACGTCAAAGAATGAGATTAGAACATAAACAGAATTTGGCGATACAACAAAAGGAAATATGCATTTACATTTGAGCCAGTAACTCCAATTTTTCAGAAATTAACCCCGAAGGCACATCCACAACAATGTGAAAATACTGCAATGTCCGTGAATATATTAATTGATAAAAACATGGTATATTCACAGAGTGGAGCACTATACTATGTAGCTATAAAAGAGAATGAGCATGATCTTTGTAAACTAGTATGGGGTGCTTCCAGGATAGTTATGGATATAGATATATAAAAGAATGTGTGAGTTTGGGGCTAATGTCAATGATACCAAGCCCAGTGCCTTCCCATCCTGGTATGAAGAGGCTTTGAGAGATGAGGAAGAGAGAGCCTGAGCCAGAGCTGCAGCCAGGGCTCATACTGCTACGCTGGCCAGTGGGTGTTCCAGGGCATGTCCCAAAGCTCCTCCGGTCCCTAGTGAAGGCTGAGCGGATACTTCACATTGTATTTAAAGAAAGCAGTCAGTCTTCCAACTAGTGGAGGGCCAAGGTGGGGCTCATGGGAACACAACATATATTTGTGTTCCTAGACAATATGCACAAATCGGAGATTTTTCTTTTTTCTATTTTTAAATGTTGTTCCTTTCAATTAAAGATGTGTTTAGCTTCAGAGTCTAAGTTTATTAATGACATGACTCACACATTTAGTGCAGCTTATCAGGTTGAGAAATAAGAATTTTGGTATTATGTAACACAAACTGGAAATCCTCGAATCATTTCTTGTCATTCGGAACATTGGAATATGGATTTTTTGTGAAAAAGGAAATTATTCCACAGTAAAGTCTGTGTGATCATGAGATACAGAAAAAAAACCTGAAGAGGTATTCACTTCTTGGTTTGTTTTATTCCTTTTAGTCTTTCTTTGTAAAATTGAAGTATATATACCTGGATTCGGTTAGCTTATTTAAGAATGTGGGAGAAGTGAAATCACAGTATTTTGCCTTCTTGCACACGTGCTCTTTTTTTTTAATTTATTAATTTTTAGCTGCGTTGGGTCTTGGTTGCTGCAAGGGCTTTCTTTAGTTGCGGCGAGTGGGTCTACTCTTCATTGTGGTGCGTGGGCTCCTCACTGCGGTGGCTTCTCGTTGCAGAGCACGGGCTCTAGGCACGTGGGCTTCAGTAGTTGTGGCACGTGGGCTTCAGCAGTTGTGGCTCGCGGGCTCTAGAGCACAGGCTCAGTAGCTGTGGCGCACGGGCTTAGTTGCTCCGCGGTATGTGGGATCTTCCCGGACCAGGGCTCGAACCCGTGTCCCCTGCATTGGCAGGCGGATTCTTAACCACTGTGCCACCAGGGAAGCCCTGATCTTTAATTGTTCAAATATCAATTTAGCGTCTGCTCTTCAGAAGGCTTTTGGATGGTACTGGGGATGCTAAGAAACATAGACCCAACCCCTGCCTGTAGAATTCTAGAGTCTAAGAGCAGCATTCATAGAAAGCAGCTGGTGAACGAAGATCTAAAGGCCCAATAAAAATCAGGGGTAAGAAGTGGGGGTTGAGGGGTTCCTCATGAGGAGTCTAGTTTAAATGTCCTGATGCAAGGCACTTTGAGACTTTAG